AGGACTAGTGTTCCCGCTGTTAACTTGAAATAGTAATGAGAGTTACAATCGATACGGTCCGCCATGTCTATTATACGTGCAGCAACCCATGTATGATATCGTCCTGGTCACAAATACATAGTCTTTGTCTATTTTTCCTTCCTGGGCAATAAGAATTGGTTCGTTAAAAAGACGTACTATCATTTCATTATGATTTTAGCACATTTCTTCTTGGGCAAAATGAAAGGGTTCGTTAGTATGGACAGGATGCAAAGCTTGTTCATTGTCAGTATATTTCGTCATGTTTTTGTTTTGCATAAAACACTTGGAAAATAGAGATTAAAACACGCCAAACTACTGTTGTTTCTTTTTTGACTGACTGACACATCACTTGCACGCAACTCTTAAGTAAAACATGGACCAAGCTGTTTTCTTGATTTTGTCTCCAAATAAATCGGTTTTTGTTGTTGTTGTTGTTGTTGCTTTTGTTTCTCCATCTGAAAATGGTAAGATCTTCACGTCCTCTCGGATAACGACGTTAAGATACTGACTGATACCAGTTACGTGGGATAGTGAGTTGGTGAGACGGAGTGGGTGTTTTGGCGCAGGGATTTTGCATAAAACACTTGGAAATAGAGATTAAAACACGCTTTTAAGGTATTGCCAAACTATGGTTGTTTCTTTTTTGACTGACTGACACATCACTTGCACGCAACGCTTAAGTAAAACATGGACCAAGTTGTTTATCTTGATTTTGTCTACAAATAAATCGGTTTTTGTTGTTGATGTTGCTTTTTTTATTTCAAACAAACGTAAAAACGCTTCGAAAGAAATAGTGATGCGTTTATTTACGAAAAAGTGATCTATGTTATACATAATTTTTTGAGTCGCGACAAAAAGGAGCGTTAATACAGAAAWAYAGTGATCACGTGATCAGTTTTAACGTTTGTCGCTCGCCGTAAACGCGAATCTAAAAAACTCTTCTAATGACGAATGTTGATTCAAAGATACCGCGGGAAATCACAGGCAAACCAATAGACTTTTTCGTGGTTAAAACCAAGGCTGTTAACATGTTTGCTCCAGCCTTCAAATAAACAAGAGAGTCAAGTCAAGTCAAAATTATGACTTTTGTCATCAACAAAAATTCATTTTTCTGAGATTGCAAGATTTTAAAACAAGTTCAATCAAAAAGGACAAGTTTTGGTTTGTTGCCCGATTGCAAAATCGCAGCCCCGWTGCTCAACTTATTTAACTAAACCGCAAAAAGAGATTTGTTACAGTTAAATATTGTTTCATCTTTTGAACTGAATAAAAAAAGTATTTTTTTTTTATAATGAAAATTTGTAAAGGGGTCTATATTTCATAAGCACTTGAAAAAAAAAAATGCTTGAAAAGATAATTTATTTTGATGGATTAGATGATAAATAGAGGATATTACATGGGCGCGCGGAGATACGGAATTTATCTTCTCGTGTTGAAAAGATCTCTCACTCGTTTTCTACGCTCACTTGTGAATCTTTTCAACACTCGAAGATAAATTCCGTATCTCCGCGCGCCCAWGTAATMTCCTCTATTTATCATATGACCCGTATTTCGGCCCTACGCGCGCTCTTAAAAAACCTTTGGGAAATGGTCACTGTCATGGGAGCCGTACGCCTTTTCGCGACAGGGCCGTACAAACCTGTATCTTCCCAGCTTGAAATTGCGCGCTTTTATTTTCATTTTTTTTTTTTACATTAAAAACGCTGTCATATGATAAAATACTTATTGACTGAGTTAGGTCGGACATTCCATACGGCATAACCTCGAGACAAATATTTTCCCGTACGGCCCTCCCACTCAGTCGTAAAGTACATATTATTGACCTCACTTGCTCTGAATCTGTACATATATGTTATTTATACAGGCTGGGGAGGTCCGTATGGGAAAATATCAAACACCGGTCTTCTATGTACAGACCTCGCCAGACCTCGCGCTAGGTTAATAACCTCTTAATATTTTTAAGATTATAATCGTTAAGAATTACTACATATGGCCTCAAATACAGAATAACCGTTAGAAGACTTAGTTTCCTATAAAACTCTATCGTAATCGATAAATAACCCAAGAATACTAGTCTCCTATCACAGCCTTTATGAGGCTCTTTCCCGGGAACCGGCCGCCTCATAACGACTGCGAGAGCACTTTATAGATAAAGGGAGGGGAGATTTTTTTATAAAGCCATTTATAATTCATACCGGTGCTAAATAAAATAAAAGTATACCATTTTTAGAAGTAATATTTTATTTTTAACAATTTTAGATTCAAAGTAGTCATTGCTTGGGCTCCCTGTGGCGAGAGAATGCCAATAATAATAAAACACTCCAATATCATTCATGAACAATTGCGGGATAGCTCCATTAATTCACTTTGCCTTTTCCACATGTAGGACGACGCTTTTAATATGAATATTGTGTTTTCAATAGAACTAATAATTGCCCACTCAAGCATCTGAATTTCGTTCCAATTGGTGTAAAAATTAACAGACCATTGGTTCTATAAGTGATATCCATTATTCTGACAATTGTTTTAATCAGCATAATTCTTGGCCTTCGGTCATGAATCTAACCAGTGTTATCAATTCTCATGTGATAACATTCTCATACAGGATCGATGTATTTTACATTGTGGACATATACACCTACTTGCGAAAACATTGTCATAGAAAATAGGACATTTGTATTTAGTAAAAAAGGAATAAATTAAAAAAGACAAACACTGAGGCTGAACACTTTCTTTTGTCTTGTTTTAATTTAATCCTTTTTACTAAATTCAAATGTTCTATTTTCTATGACAACGTTTCTGCAAGTAGGTGTATACAATGAATATAAAGTGAAATAAAGAGCTTTTCTTGCAGTGACAAATAAGAAAATACTTGGAGACGTTTCGAGAAGTCTTGATATCGGTACGCTAAATAACTTGTCAGATCATTAATCTCTATTAAACTACGGCCTCATATGGGCTTGTCTACTCATAACACACAGCTAAAACTGAAAATATGTTGAGTTTTTGAGTTGCTTGTGATACGTGCACCTTTGAGAGCAATCATTACATGGTAAACCTGGTAAACTTGCTGCAACTAAAACTCGTGGACAATCAACTGGTCAGCATATTGAGAATAGAAACAACTTGTACAAAAAGAGAGTGCATAATATCAAGTTATTTGTGAAGTAACAAGCCTACCGTAACACACCTTTTTCCCACAGCGTTTTCCAAAGGTTTGGTTTATTYATAAAGAGCATAAATGGAATTTCTACATCCAAGCGCAATTATCTTAATGTTTTGTATGTTTGAAGGAGTAGGTGAGTTACATGGTTCTGTATAGATAAAAGAGCATTCACTTTGTAAAACCAAAACCTCCATTTTATAATTGAGATAGGGACCCAAAGTCAGTACATTGATAGTTATGTTATCTTAGTATCAAATAAGCAAGAGACAGTAGAGTGATTTTCATAAACCCGTGAGACAAAGTGTAATAATTAGAGTGTAATAGATCGTAATAGTCGCGTAGAGACAATAAAAAACAAAAGAGCCAAAGTGTAATAGCGATAAATACGCTAAAGTGTATTTCACGGGTTAATGAAAACCACTCTATATTTTCTCCTAAAGCCGAACTTCAGTGAGGTTACAATTATGCATATTTGTCAGATATTGTTCGCTTTTTATACTCATCTCGTTGGGAAAAAAATGCGCTGTAAATTTGATGAAAAAGCGATGTAAAAACGATGTGAATTTGATGTAATACTTCCATCATTTTGGATGCACTTACAGAATATTTCCATAAAACATTTACAACCATCGAGGAGGGCGAATTTTTCCAGTCACTGACCACCACATTATTTCCGTGAAGTTGGCTTTGTAAAGTTATTTTCAAAACAACAAAAGACAAAGGATTGTGCACTTATTTGCACAATTTTGTCAGTGATTTTCTGTGAACCTTGAGAAAAAGAAAATAATTCTTAATTCTTTATAGTTTGTCCTAGACAACATATCACATGGAAGAGAATGAGTTTAAAATCCACTAACTTCAACGCAATAAATCTGCGGAATTGTACAAAACTCTTTGTATCATTTCAGGTGTTATCTAGTAAATAGTAATAAAGTACAGACCACAAAAGCGTACTCAGTCACGGGTTAACGAAAACCACTCTACCAAAACCGGCATGAACGTCTAGTATTTAGATGGTGATAGATTGTACGTTATTATGCGAATGACCTTGTATTCTATCACCTGATGCCTTAACAAGTTGACGATCACATTTCTTCCACGGGAGAGTATCTATATAGGTATATCGTTTTAGAAATGTTTCAGAAAGGACCCAAAGTGTCCGTCAGCGCGTCTTTCTGAATTTTAGGCGATAGGTTAGGGTTAGAGAAGCATCTTTGTAGAATTTTGACTTTGGATCCCAGTGTAGAGTCAGTTTAAAATTAAAGTTAGAGGTTACCCCCCTCGACCACACCTCAATTACACTACCTCATGCAAACTTTAGACTATGCCATGCACTACATAAATTGGAGAAATAGATAAACGTACTTACTTTTATCATATAATTATCTATGAAATACCTATAGTATTTCTCCATTGCGTAAAGTTGATATTTTCACTAGTGAAAATAACACATTCGAGGTTTCTCTATATAGTGGAAGTAAGAAAAATGCTATTTTACGACATAATTCGCTTTCATATGTCATTATATGATAAACAGAATATTACATGGTCGCTTGGAGATACGAATTTTATCTTCTCGTGTTGAAATCTTTTGTGGGTTTTTTTACTAACGGTTTTAATTTTTGTACCCTTAGTCTGATTGGGGATTATTTTTGCTGTATGTTGTTGTTGTTTCCCTCTTCTTCTTCAAAAATAGCTTATAATATCTGTAGGATTTGCTGCAGACGTATTCCTGAGAAATAAAAAAATACTTTACCTACACACCTTAATTTATGACGGATGGGTATATAAGTGAATCTCATACAACTGTATATGTACACCAAATGAATTRTAGATATTATATTTAGCTAGCACTGCACCAGAAAGTACTCAACTGTCTAGTAATAGAAGCTCCAATACCTTCCAACAAGGCGATGTGGTGGCACTCAACTGCAGTTCAATTGCCAACCCTGCCCAGTGTCAAGTCTTGTTTTATCAAGGCAGTACGTTATTGGCCAACGTCTCCAGTAACACTTGTTCTGCTACCCACGTAATAACCAGCATCCAAGGCTGCAATCATGAGACTCTTTCATGCATGGCAAGCAATGCTGATGGAGATGGCCCAAAGATTAACCTTACGGTATATGTTCAAGGTATTTAGCTTTATTTACAATAAAGGTGGTGGATTGGCCTCCATTGCAGCATGAGTGCAGAAACGTTCAAAGGATGCAGATCACAAACTTATTATACATGGTCATGCTGCCATCGAGGCATGTGTGAGCCACACTAATAGAGATTTACTGATCAATATCGCTTTATCTCTTATTTTTGTTTTTGCGCCTTAGTTAAACAACATCTACGCAACTGCATTGAGGAACTTACTTTACGTAACCAACGCCGTCGACAGCGCAGCAGGGGGATTATGGCGCATTTTTAATGAGATGGGGAAATCGATATATATTCGGAAAAGCAAGGAAAATAATGATTGAGAAACCAAAATCATTTGTTTTGCTCGGACTGGGAAWTCAAACAGAGACCACAAAGCTGTCTCACTTCAGCTGCCTTTGCTTAATTCTTAATTGCCTTTGCCAATTTACACTGTTTCATCTTAAATRCTCATTCCATTTTAGTGAAACCAAGAATCCTGGTCAATAGCAAAGCTGATAACGACATTACCGCCACTGAAGGCTCGAGCTTCGATCTCACGTGCTCTGCAACAGGTTGTCCGACACCAAACGTTACTAAATGGACAAAACAAGGTCAAACCCTAACAACAGGGCAAAACTCGACATTAAAGCATTCTTTTGCAACACTAAGTAGAAATGATTCTGGACAATATACTTGCACCGCTGACAATGGATTTGCGGGCGGCCCTTTCAATAAAACGATCACCCTTGATGTACAATGTAAGTTTCTGGTTGGTTGTTGTGTTATTTTCTGGATTGTCTGTTGGCGGGTTAGTTGTTCTATGTTTGGGTTTTTGGTTCTTTCGTTGTTTTTTTTGTATGCCTGTTTAGTTAGTTGATGTGGAGGMGATATTTAGGAAAATGGGTCATGGATTCAATTTGTTGGCTGTTGGTTGGTTACATTGCTGGTAGGCTGTCTGGTTAGTTATGGTAGGTCAAGAAATTATAAGGCTGATTGTGTTGTTGTTTGGTTAGTTGGTTTGGTGTATGTATGGATACAAATAGTTAAACGGTGATTAAGACATATTTTGAATAGAAACAAACTAAACGAATGTTTGTACTTATAATAACGTCCTTTTGTTTTAATTTAATTCATAATCAGACAAGCCCGAGCAAGCAAACATTTCACTCAACAAAACAGCCGCTATCTTCAACAAAGGCGACGTTGTCAAAGTGACGTGTCAAGCTCAAGCCCACCCTTCACGATGCACCATATTTCTTTATAGAGGAACCACTCTTCTTGAGAGCGCTATATCAGACAGCTGCACCCATATTTACGTGTTTCAATTTGAAAGTTGCAGTCAGGAAAGTTTCAGGTGTTATGCACGTAATTCAGCTGGACAGGGACCCTGGGTATCGCTCCAAATAACGGCCCAAGGTACAAATTTGAAAATTTGTCATGCGAAGGCTTGAGTTATTTCAAAGCTAGATAAATAGATTGACTTTTTTTATTTAGCAAGTCCAGAAGTCTCTATACTGGTCAACAGCGTTGCTAGCAAGAGGGTGGATATCGAAGAAGGCCAAGGTTTAACAATTCAGTGTAAAGCGAAAGGTTGTCCTACACCGTCCATGCAATGGAGAAAAGGAGGCATTGTGACCGATAGTGGTTCTAGCAATACACTGATTCATCAATTCACTGGYGGTCTAAAGAAAGAAGACATCGGCTCATACACCTGTACGGCTGAAAACATTCTTGGGCGCGCTTCCCCCAAATCAATTTTCGTTAACGTTACTTGTAAGTATTAAAACATCTTTTTCAATCATATTGCTTCGTTCTGTCTGTCGATCTGTATGCCATACCTGCGCTCTGTTTCTCTCTGCCATAGCTGCGTTCTGTCTGTCTGTCTTCTATAGCTGTCTTTTTGTCTTCTTGTAATGACCAGGCTTCAAAGAAGCCTACATGTTTTCACATTTAACTTTTTTGACAGACAAACCAACTATTACATTATCGACACTTTCCGTGACGCTGACCACGAACCAGAGACTTAACTTAACCTGTAAAGTTGAAGCTAATCCTCCAGCAGTTCAAGTTGAATGGACGAGGAATGACACCATTATTGCTAGAAAAGAACATTTGGTGTTAAATGCGAGTGATAGTCTGTCTGGGGAATATAAATGCGTCGCCAGAAACTCGATTGGAATGTCATCAAAGAAGACGGTAGTGAAGGCGGAAGGTAAATAATGTCCTTCTGATCTAACAATCTAACGTGTTGAGCGCAGACAGATCCACTATTCCGCATACGTTATATCACTAGAAACTCATGGAAATGTTAAACTCAACAGGAGTCGCTATGAACCATGTTTTGTCAAGGAAATCAACAGCCCTTTTCATATAGGATAGGGTTAATTAGCATGCGGGGAAAGTTTCTTTCAAAGTTCTATCACGAGTCTTAATATGAAAATGCATGGTCAAATAGCAAATATCGTAATCGCCATCAATCTCACYATTACACCACTTTGCTAAATAACTACCAATGCCACTACCATTTCGACTAGTTCATATGTCGAAGGTACTACAGTGAAAACCCGCGTTGTATATAAGAACACCTATTTTGGCGGTTCAGGCTGATTTGGATCTTATATAAATCAGACCTGGGTGCATGTCCTTAATCCACTTGTTCTTGTATACACGCGGGTTTTTACTGTATTGTTGCCGTTCTAAATGTTCTTATTATATTACGAAAGCCATTGTTTTGAGCTCATTTGCATAAAATGCCGGCAATTGAGTCGCAATAGCTTTTGCTAGCCTTCAGGGGAAATTACCACTGAWATCTTTATCATAAAAAGTGATTTGCACAGTTTATGTTGGGAATTTGACTTACGGATAGTGACAGTATACTCTAACGCTATCACTATATTTTAGCATGTGCTAACCACAAGTGTCTTGGCAAGTCAACATGCGTTAGGTCTAGAGGAACAACATATCAGTGTAACTGTAATGATGGCTTTATTGGACAATTCTGCGGCACTAAAGGTATAGGCAGATATATTTGTGAATTGGACATTATGAAGAAGTGACTTCAATATTTAACAATTAAACCGCAAAGTCGAGTGGACTACGAGTTGGGTACCAGTAAGTGGTCTAATTGTTTTAGCATCCACSAAMTACGYGCTATAACAAATCCAGCATTCTGATTGGCTACTGAACTATCAGATAGAGAATAATCTCATCGAATGAAGCGATAGTCGAAAAGATTATTGTCTTTCTTCAATTTGTCAGTAAAGTTTGGTGAATAATACTATTCGGTCTGCGAATTGATAGTCCATGAGGCGGTCCACTCGAAATTGTGAAAAAAAATTTCTATTCATTTGTACATTTGTTTTCAGTGAATAATTTCACTATTTGATCACAATTTCTTTCATTTAGATCCCATTAGTGAAAAMTTTAGAGTTATAATAACGCTCACCTCAACTCCATGGAGAAGTGATTATAGCAATCCATCAAGTAACGCCTTCAAATCTCTGGAAAACAGAATTTGTTCTGAGGTAAACGCATTGACACATTTTTCACCAACTTGTCCGTGACAGTTGCAATTATTCCTTGATAAATTGCCCGAGATGGGTAATTACGTGAGGGAACCGTATAGACTGCCTGTTCTGCGGACAGAACTTGACGTGAATTTGTACAAGACCGCCATCTTAGGATACATTATATGATACAGAGAGATGCAGTTTTGCTCCAGATTCACATTATTACGTGAGTCCCTCCCCCCCCCCCCCCCCCCCCTGGGTTCCTGTACCCAAGACGTTTGTTCCCGTTGCCGCAAATTCAGTAATTTCCTCCAAAAGCTTACAGATATGTTGAATGCTCTGTTGCTAATAGCTGCTTATCTCTTTCTTTTGCAGTTTCGAACAGTTTTCAAACGATTTCAACTATTTATCCTGAGCTGTAAGGTTCTGTCTTTAAGGTAACTGAGCATTTTAAACTTAAATTTAAAGGAATCTTTGTTATTGTTCTATTCCGCAGAAGTTTAGTTGCGGGCTTTTGCTTCACAAATCGCRATGAAGAGACAGTCTTAGCCAACCCGAACTTTGATCATGAATCATAATGATTTTAATGCAATAACTGTTTTATTTTATGCAGAAATGGAAGCGTCATCTCTGAAGTGGAATTGACGTTTAACGAAACTAAATATCAGAGCGATGTCGTCAAAAGTCTACGTAACGCGACTAGCAATAACACATTAGGCAGCTTGGAAGTATCATCAACTGTGAACACCTTTGTCGTCTGTAAGTTACGGTTGAACGTCAAATAAAACTCGTATAGTTGAATCAAATCGTATCGTGCACACCCAAAATCAGCACTTGTAGACTTGTGTGTCACACAGTGTCTATAATCGTTTGCTACAAAATCGTACAGGGTTAGCAAGTCACGTATGCACCAACTCGCAGTGGGAGAAGGGCTCAGAGTGTAACCATTTATTTTGGAGAAGATTGTAGTGTTATGTAATGTAGCTATTTCGTGCACCATAACTTTCTAAACTAGACGCTCTAAAGTGCGCTATAGTCGGGGCTCTGAGCTGAAGTTTGCTATTTAGATTACACACAAATGTCGTCCATGCTTGGTTTTTMTCGGATGGGGAGACATGATTTTTTTACATCGATCTCTTACTAAAACTGAGCTTTCTGTCTACTGCAGTGAATCCTTGTAAAATTCACCAATGCAAAAACGAAGGAAAATGCATATCGATTGACGACGATAGAGCATACAAATGCGAGTGTAAACAATTCAGAACTGGGAGGTACTGCGAAAATGGTAAGAYTGCTAACTTGATATAAACGACTTTATTGGATACCCACAGAGTCAAACTATTCCCAGCTTAATCTGCACATGCGCAGTTTTTAAATTTCAAGTTTTCGCAATCTGCGTCCCTAGAGTAAAATCCTTACAAGTATTTTGCAAGTATKTTGATTTTGAAAATCGAGTAACCACTATTGTACAAACTTTAGGAATTAAAGACTGAGGTTTTTATATAAAACGAAACAAGTTTTCTTAAAAATCCTGGTGTTTTGTTGCGTACTTTGAGTTTAAACTCTGACACAAAATGAAATTTAGAAAATCTTTTGTAATCCGACATAAAGAAATAACAAATATAATCCTTACAGCAAAGTAGGCCGAATCAGCTTTTTTKAATGCCCTTATTTGGTACTATAAACAAGTTAATTACAAGTTATTATTCATAAAATATAAATCAATAGCAATTTGCAAAGATTTTAATTAATCAAAATGAGTAAGCAGGCGATTGCGACGTAAAAGCTTCAGAGGTCTATTTCCTTGGTTTATATTAACTAAAAGTTGTTATTTTCATCATTCAGGTATTAGTTTTACAGCTGGTATCGTTCTGATCGTTCTTGCCTGCCTCGTAGTCCTAATTATCATAATCGCTATCATTATTTACTGTTATCGTCGAATGGGAACCCACGCTTCGTTTCAAAAAGGTACTCTTGAAAGATRGCGCCGCCATTTTCTCCAGCAAAGCATGTTGGAAACTGTAGTCCTTTATGCTCTATGATACGATACATTTTTGAGCTTTCTTAAAATAAAAAAAAACCTGCAAAGAAAACATAGAAAARGATTCGGGGTATTATTTCAGCAGACAAAAAAGTGAGAGTCCTACATTTCCCATCATGCATTGTTCTAAAAAATGACGTCATTGCATCTCATATCTTCTCGTTGTYACTAAATCACTTTTTCTTGTTCTCAACAGAACAAAAGCCTGTGGAAACAGAATTGTAAGATATCAAATAATTATCATATCGATCTTTCCCCTAATACGGTTCACCTTATACAAAGTCTGTCAGGACTAATAAGCAAGGTTTCCGGAATTCCCCTTTTCAGTTAATTGCGCTATTTCATTATTACATCACATCAAAACATTCTATTGTTTTAAAGATAAGGGTTATGGTCGCCAGATGGGATCAGAGTGAATGCATATCGAATAAAATGTATATGAGCAATCATTGATGCATGCCTGATATCATTTTTACAGAAGTTTTACTTTCGGAGAAAATATAAATTCAAATTTCCACTGTTTTTGACCATCTTTCCCGGATGTTCACATACTATGACATCATAATGAAACAGGGCAATGGAGTCGTAACTTTTATTTATGCAGTTTTGGATTGAAACTCACTTGGGCTTTAGTTTACTTTTGCGGAACACTTGTCATGTCTCCTTTAATAGCGAGAAACAGGACAGAGACTTAGAAATCAGACTGACCTTGCCTGCCATTGACAGTATAAAAACGCGATTGATTGCTAAATTGTTTTCAATATAAACGCACTTTTCCAAGTTGACGCCAGTTAATTATCTATTGCCACTGGAAAAAATCGCGCACCATAAAGGTTGTAAATTTGATGGAAATCATTTACATCATTTTGGACACTTACATCATACATACATCAAATTTACAACCTTCATAGCGCGCGATTTTTTCCAGTGTGCTTTGTAGAAATAGAGAAAAAAATTGATATAGTAGTATTAATAGCAAGAGTTTTCTGACTAATACAATTTTGTATATGTTTATAGGAAATCAGTCCGAAGACGAGGGTCAGAATATCCAAAGGGAATAAGCAATGAGAGTTATATGGTAGTTGAGGACAACGAACGTTCAGGTAGCTACAACATAGCGAAAGCTGCTGCGAGAAATGGCGCCTTTGAGAAGAAAGGAGGAAACACTGTCCCTAGAGTCACTGTGAACGAAAAACCAGTAGACGTCTTTGAGGATGAAGGTCCAAAGAATACAAGCAAGAATGCTAAGATTTCGAATGATAGAGTCAGATTTGAAGAAGCTGAAARGGCGAACTCTGCTCTCGATGCTTCTTCTACTAAAGGTATTGTGAAAGCAGATGACGATGTGAACACCGAAGTGGAAGATTCTACAAGTACAAATGGAGTAGCTGGAGAAGAAGTTGCAGTCAAAGATGAGAAAACAAAACAAGAGACTGAGACTAAAGATATGGATAGCAATCTTGGAGAAGCATTATGGCAACAATGCGAAGGATAAAACTTGTAATGTTGAATCAGATGAAGAAAAGAAAATTGATGATAAAAACACCGAAGAGAAAGACCAGGACGKGAATGAAAAAGATGAGCTACTGAAAAGTGACGGAAAATCTGGAACTGAGGATGAAGAATAATTAGATTTGTCAATAATTGAAGGCGAAAAACTGTTTTACTTAACTAGAAATTAGCAAGAAATAATTTTGCATCAATGGAACGATTTAAAATTTCTCAAAGTCGGCACGTATCCTGTGTTTTTCAAGAAAAGTGAAATTCTGTAACGTTGAGTATGTTTACAGAGAAGTYGAATAGCAGTCGTAAATACCAAGAACATAAACACTTTGAGAAAGTCAAGGAAGCAACCTCCAGTTGCATGTCTGGATTGAGAATGATACTGGAAAATCTAACAGTCAAATTTTTAATTTTATAATCAAATATTTACAGTTGAATAACGGGAATATTTCACAAGTCCTTAGTTAGAAAATAATGAAAGAAGTAGCATTTTAAACTTAAAATTTTAAAGTAGTTTATGTTAAAACTGGCGAGAAACTGTCTGACAAATACACCTGCATGCATCTGTTTTCAAATACTATACACACACCTTGTTTTACACTTATTTACAAATATTCATCAATGTAAAAATTGTGGTTTATATAGAATCGATTTACTGTGACTGATATGTTCTCCAATAATACGGTCGCCATCTTGTCTCCTGGCCATCTGCGTGATTGTTTGGCTTCTGGACAGGAGACTTGTTACCATCTTGAAATATCATGTAGAGTTGTACAGAAAATGTTTAATGTTTAAATATTGCTTTAAAAGATCCATCTTTTATCTTCCTGTATAACGTGATTTTTTGTAAACAGTGAAAAAACAAACGACCAAAAACAAGAACAACAWAAATTGGAATCAAGATGGCGACCGTAYTGGAAATTTCAGTTCGAAAGTTAAACGTCGTCAACTACTTCGCAATACGAAGCGCATTTAATTCGACATTTAACATAGATCAGTAACACTGATGATTGATAAATCGGTCGAGCAAATCTAAAATAAAGACACTTTGACGTAYGYGTTTGAGTTTATTATTCGGTKTTATGAAGGRCAAGTAGTTACTTAGGCAATAATTTCACGATATTTTTTCATGTCTTACCCTCGTTGCAAAAAACATTACCTATATGTACTCAGCCTGACGTAAAAATCTATGTTCCTTCAAAGGATACTGCAGCACGACATATCAAACAAAGTCAAGATATAAGAACAAATCTTTTTACACAARATATAAGAACTTGTATTTACTAATATAAAACATTGATAAATTCAATTTCATCAGTCCAGATGTATGGATGACAACGGTGAAATGGATGGATATATACAATGCATGCATGTTACTGTAGTTCACTGTTGGAGTCTCTCATTTAATAAACATCACTTAAAATTCATAGCTCGAGGGAAAAAAAATAAGACAAAAAAAGAGCATAAATTGCTCCATTTTAACTTTAAAATAACTTGCATCGATAGTAATACCATGCAAGTATGTTGCAATTCAAATATGTCACAACGTGAAAATATAGATGGAAATAAAAAGACCTAGCACGATATAAACTAATTTTTATGATAATTTTCTCACGGCATAAAGCAGCATATTTTTCGACTTGTTGTATATTCATATCATTATCACAAACTAAGGAATACAGTAACGTTGAAAACAGTTTGTTTCTTGTGGTCTAAGATGAACCAATCAAGTTAAACCAGTCTTGTTCGAGAGGTTTTTTCAACCAGACTCCTAAACCATTTCTATCAAAGGCATTCACCATCAGCTCTTTTGCTTGCTGGTAGCTATGACAGGATACTTTGGCATCATGATAAGTTGCAGGTTGACTTTCCTTTGACTTCAAACTCCGCCATAAAACACAAAACTTAGCAAACATTGCTTGTTTGCATAAACGTGAAGGTTGATTGGTTTCTATCAGTTTACCTGTCAAAGTGCTTAAGTTYTCAAGAGCATCATCTCCAATGGTCCAGTTCACACTATTCTTAGGTGCCTTGCCAGGCTGGCGAGGTTCAGGGAATGAGATACTGCTCATCAATGGTTTATTTTGCTTGTAGACTGCTGGTAAATCAGGTATACTGCCAAGACGTGCATACATGGCCCTTGACATATGGTCGTATCTACAGACAGAGACCAACAATAATTATTGACAACACAAAATATATGATCTATTTCTATGATAACAATTGCGTTGAAAAACTCCAATTCACTTAAAAACATACCAAAAGCTTTAAATGCCCCTTGCTTCCCATAAATGTCTATGGAATTTCATACTAAAAACATATCTACACTAAAACTCATTGTCCAGATACCTCCCCTAAATTCACGAATAGCTCCCATTAAAGGTAGATGTATATTTTATGATTCTAAACTATATATTGAATAGCTTTTTCAGGAACTTGGGACCCTTAGAAAGTTAGTGTCACATAACACACATTACCTATCCCCAGGAGCTGAAAAACTGTGAAGTGTAACAGAGGTTGTCATTAAGAAATAGACAGCAGAGCCTGTGTCAAAATGGCTGCCGCTCATTGTTAACTTACATAGAGTAGCACTGGTATTCAGTTTTTTCTGTTCTTGTACCCAGATACTTCTCAGTTTCCCAAAGAGAAATCAAAAGTTTTTGTTTGAGAAGACACTGGAAGACCCATCTATTTCATATTATATAGTTACATACAGATGGCACATGGTTATTTTTGAACCAATCAAATCAAAGACTCATTCTTCTCCAACCAGAGGCTTTTATTTTCTACTGGTAAACTGAGCAGGATCTGGGTACAAGAATGCAGTGTTTACCTGTAAAAACTTCCTARTGTAATTGACTTTAGATAAACAGGCTCAATAAAATGGCTGAGTAAAGCTCCTTGAAGACCAAGAATGTTCCACTTGCTAACCTTGTCACTACAAGACATTGTACGAAGCTTTTCACTACCAAGCACGCCATCCCAGGTTTGCACCTGATTGTCAAAGTTGGCAACTGGTATCGTTCCTAATTTTGAGAAACAAATGTTTCAAGATCATATAAATTACATTTAACTAAAAAGCCACACACAAGCAACATTATAATGCAATCTCCATAGCAGGCAACAAATGATGCATACTGAAACTTTTGCTTTTTAGATTTGCTAATTTAATTATTATGCAGGCATGTGGAAATTATGTGCGGATGCGGACGCGCATAATTACCCCCTTTCCRCATAATTTACCAAATCATGCATATTCCCGCATAATTCATGTTTTTTTTTGTGGTGCCTTGACTGGTCTTTTGATCAAAAATCTCTTCCAAACATGCTTATAATTTTCCGAATATATATTGTTTAGTGAGCTTCACAAATGTACAACCAGGCGTTTGAAATCTCATCAGAAAAGAGTCTGGGCACTAGCATTACTGGTTACCCTGTGCCTTACCAAATCACGTGACAAATTCCAATATGGCGTATGAGACATAAAGCGCATGAGAACGAAAAAGTCTAAAAAGATCTTTTCTTTGGTTAGTACTGCCCTCGATATTTCGTAACTAAAGATATAACCGTAGTTTTGCATGAAAAACAAACACAATAACCTAAAAATATGTAAAATTTCCCAGATTTTACTTTCTTGTAATGACGTCAWGCCGCATAATTTTCCACATAATTTACCCTTTTCTCCACATAATAAAGGGAAAAAATTCTGCAAAATTTTGATTTTTTTCACACAAAATTCAGCCATGTCTGATTAGTAAAGTAGCTCTGGAAATTAAAAAATTAAAGCTTTTTACTGACATGAGATGTTAATGCCAGGGTGTTTATGATCAATTATAGAAATAAAATGAAAATTTAGATGAGACCATCTTCAGCTTGATCAGCATTGCCATGTCAATGATCATTTTCTTCAAATTATTTGAAATCAGATCAATTTTTAAAAGTTGGCATTTGTTTTGATTTCATTTTACTTGTTTAGGTGTCATGTCTTTATTAGAAATAAAAACAATTTCATTTTCAATTTTGCCATGGCAACACTGCTCAATCTAAAAATTGCACTGTTTAAAACGTCCTTATGCAATAAAGTACCTTCTCCATTTTCAAGCTTAACTCTTAATAGACCTCTTTTCTTTCTAGCGGCATGCTTGTCTACTTCTCCAGCCTCACTTTCATGTGGTGAGAATACTCTAGCATCTCCACAAGGTGACGTACTCACRTACAAATGAAAATCAATCCCATTTTTCAGTCCAAAAAGTCCTGATTCTTTCATCTCTAGGATTGAGGAGTCGGTTTTTCCTTGTGTGTAYGCTTCCAGTTGAGAAAAAAGAAACCTTCTCAAGCCTCTTCTAGAAATAATYTCCCCGTGGCAATCATTCACGGCATAACCTTTATCACTGATGTACTCGCCACCAATGAGTTTGGTTCCAGTGCCAATACTGATAACCTCATATTCATACTCTTCATTGTCATGTTTTCTCGTCATCACTATACCAGCAAGYACCTTACGACGAAGATCCTTTGAAGACAGCTCTCTGAATTTATTCAAAGTCATTTGTGCAATTGTGTCTGCCATTTTTTGAGGAAGAAGTGATTCTGGAGGAGGAGGGACTATTACTAAATTCGATGTCTTTGATGTTGGTGTTTGAGGCCCTGCATATAGGCTAGTTACTCCATAGATCTCTTCTAGTACTTTGGATGCAACAACTATTTTGGCCTTTTTCTTACTCAATCCCACAGCAGTAAACTCTCGTCCTTGTACCTCTACTGTACAGATGAACGGTTCTTGTTGACTTTGATCAATTTCAAACTGGTAATCAAGCTTACCTTCGAACTTCTCATTCAATAACATGACAGGCTGTTTGGATTTATCTTCCTCTGAGATTTCATACTTATTCTGCTGCWGTTCAACAGATTCTGTTCCATTATGTTCCATACTTGTAAAACCATAAACTTCTTCTAGTACTTTCACAGCCACTGCCATCTTGGCTTTTTTCTTGCTAACACCAGCTCCTATGAACTGTTTTCCATCGACTACTACRCAGCATATAAAAGGTTCTGGTTTGCTGTGATCCTCTCCAAACTGGTAGTCAAGTTTACCAATGTGCACCTCATTTAACAGCATGACTGGAGGCTTGGAGATTGACTTGGTCCCTTGTTCTGAGGACGCATCTACCTTYACATGAACCACTGAGGGATCAAGCTGCATGTTGTCATGTGTTTCAGTAGGTATAAAYTCGGTCTGGTAGAGAGTGAGGATGATYTTTTCAGCAGCATTATGCTTAGCTTTTTGTTTACTGGTTCCTGAGCCTTCAAACACTTGACCATCGACATTAACAGCTACTATGAAGGTTGGGGCATGTGGTGGGCCTTGCTGGGATGACGTAACAAATTCTAGATCGGGTCKTCGTTCATTCAGAAACATCAAAGCGTTCTTGTCTTGTTGTGAACTAGTCGTTTTTCGTTTCTTACGCTTTCKTTTTGTCGACTGTTCGACTGGTTGAGTCGTCCCTTCTGTCATTGGAGTATCTTCATCATCTGACAATTCTCTTTTAAGCCCAATCTTTGATAAAGATTGTATATCAGGCGATCCATATCCTAATGGATTGCCGGCTATTTGGTCGCCTTTCGGCACACATGCTGGAAAAGAACCTTCCGCCATTTTGACGTTCGGACGCAGCCTCGCTCCCTTTTYTCGACAAGATCCTGGGTTCCAGTATCTCCAGTCTCTAGCCTCTTTGAAAGTAACGCCTTGTAGTTTCTTAATGACTCCTTCCTCAAATTTCTTGGTTATTTGTTAAGTTAGTCTTGATTTGGGTGTTCTGGTAGAAAATGTCTTTACAAGATGTGTTTGGTAGTGATTTAGAAGACAGTGACAATGAGGAATACAAAGCTTCCTCAGAGCAAGCAGAAATAAATGATCTTTTCGGYGAGTCAGGTAGCGAAGAGGAAGATGACAAACCACAGCCAACAAGAAAACTTGATAGTGAATCAGAAGACGAGGAAGATAGAGATGACTCTGCKGTGAACAGGGATGATGAAGACTTCGAAGAAAAGGTTTGTTGGGAATTAATTTTATAACCACTATACCTATATAGTATAGTTGTAATCTTTTTTTTCTTAGTTTTATAAATTCCTTTGATGATTTCTTGGATCACATGCATACATGGTCATATGGTTTGAAGTCAAATTACGCGTCAGGAAACCTCTTCTTCCAAACATTAAACTATTAAGTTACACTTGTTTGATTCACAGAAAGATTAAGGTTTAGTGTTAGGGACAGYTTACACTGTGACATAAGCAGAAACATATAATTAGCTTATACTCATGCTTTGCCAGTTACACTGATAAGTGTTAACATAAACAGAAGCACAAACATTAGAAAATGTTTCATTTTCTCCTGTCTCTGCTTCTTCACACATAGAAAATTATTTTCTTTTTCTTCTGATGATATTATAGTGTGAACTGGACTTCCACAGATATGCATGATAAATATTACATGGAATGTAATGAACTTAAATCTGTGTGCCACAACTGTGTTACYTTTTTAGGACGAAGCAGAAGGATCACCTGAGGAGGGTAATCTAACACATGCAAACTTGTTTGGAGATGAACTTTCCTCGGATGAAGAAAAGGTAGGGATTTATTATGAACAACAATGATTTTGTTAATTTAATTATATGTTGCTCTATATATTTGTGTTTATAATYATTTTGCAATATAATTATGTTTTTTTGTTGTTGTTGTGAACGGTTTAGCTAAAAAAACAAAAACTTTGTTTCCTTGATGACCTTCTTTGCAGTTAAWACCAAAGCGCGGGAAAATCCCTGGGAAAATGAGACAGCATGTTTGCTGYAGCACTCAAATGAGTGAGAGTTTGAAGTCATGTAAAGATAATGACTTTCTTTGTTAACAAATTTAGTAATAATTCGAAAACATAAACAAGCTCAAAAGGTACTATTTTTGTTTGTTTGTTGCCTGAGTCTGCCTTTCTTTGGTACAGTACAAAACTACAAATCTCTGCACAACTGCAAAAAGGGCTATTGGGAATTGGATCTTATCTAAGCTGGTTTAACAATATGTTTGCTTTACAAACCTTTGATTCAGGAAAACCAAAGAGATGTTCCTTCTCCATYACAAAGAGAAGGCAGAACTGAAGAAGGGGAGGAAGAAGAGGAAGAAGAAACAAGGATTGATGTCACAATTCCTTATTGTCGTGTTCCTCTTGGATCAGAATTGTACTTTTCAAAACTACCCAACTTTTTAAGTGTTGAGACAAAACCTTTTGACTCAGCGCTATATGAAGATGATGTGGAAGAGGATGAGATTTTGGATGAAGAGGGTAGAGCAAGACTTAAACTAAAGGTACAGTTTTACACTTCACTTTGGTGTGGATTGCAGATTTAATGTTTTGCTTTACAGCTTGTTCTTTTTCAATGTTGTTAWAGTGCACTGCACAATGTACTTGTCTTAATAAATGCAATCACCATGTAGGAAGACTGTGTTTTGAGTGTCAACTTAGAGATAGGGTGTAAGGACTGAAACTACTGCGTTGAGAGAGGTATTTGGAAAAGTGACTCTGTAAGCAACAGAAGTGACTCATTTTATTTTGCACTTCAAAACTCTGCTACTTGGAGAATCAGGTTATATAAACTAGTCCTACCTACCCTCAATAAAATCAACAGTATCAAAAGAAAGCCGAAGCCTTATGACCTGCTTTTAGGTCCCACCCATGATGTTTTGTTAGGCCTTGGAAAACATCTACATTATTATTGTGCACTTAAACAAAATACGTGTGTGTTTTCACAGGTAGAAAACACAATACGATGGAGGTATGGTAAAGACAGTGATGGAAATGAAATCAAAGAAAGTAATGGCAGGGTAGTACGCTGGTCTGATGGCTCATTGTCACTGCTTGTTGGTCAAGAAGTATTTGATATTCAGAAAACTCAAGTAGAAGGAAACTTCAACCATTTGTTTGTGCAGCAGGTAAACCAGCTAAACAAGTGTATTTAAGGATATTTGTAAGCCTATATATCACAAGTGGTATTTATCCCAAATTCCACGTAATTGTTTATAAAATGGTTGAATAAAATTGTGTGATTTGATTGGCTAAGAGGAGTGGTATTTATCCTTAATAGTGGTATTTCAAATTGCACAATTTTGTTCAACTATTTTATAAACAAATACGTGGAATTTGGGATAAATACCATTTGTGATATTTCAAAATTTGTCACAAATTTCACTAGCTTCGCCAGTGAAATTTTGTTTGACAATTTTGTAATATCACGCTTGGTATTTATCCCAAATACCACTACAAAACATGCTATTTACAAATATCTTGGTTATAATATATTGTTGATTACATGTATGAATAGCTGTTGACATTTCCAAGAAAGTGAAAAGCTATGTTTTTCATTGATAGATAGAAAGATAATTCTATTCAAATAAAACTTACACCTGAATGGCTGAATTTCGTCTATGTTACAATTAGAATTGAAATATAGAATGTATAATGTATATATAATATACCAGAGAGTAATAATAGTGGATAATACAATAAGAATGTTCACTAATGCAGCATTTTTTTCAGTTGTAAAAATAATGCTAAAACTATTTCTTTGGTGTGAGCAGCACATTTCAAAATACATGGAGCAATTGATAGTTTAATTTTCTCAGAGGCAAACAAAAGTGTTTTTCTTTTCCATTATTYATTATACTAGACTTTTGGCTTATCAGAAAGCTATAGTTTTATTCCCAGGTGTTTCCATACTGTAAAAGTTCAAGATTGGATTCTGAATGAGTATGTTTTCTCTCTCTAGGGTACTGGTTTACAAGGACAAGCTGTGTTTAAAGAAAAAATAACRTTTAGACCATACTCTACAGCCAGTCAGACCCACAGAAAGATGACCCTATCCATTGCTGATCGTGTTTCGAAATCACAGAAAATTCGCATTCTACCATCAGCTGGAATAGATCCTGAAGCCAAAAGAACYGAATTGATCAAGGTACAATTAACTTCTGTCTGTGCTTTTTTGAACTTTTATGCTTTTTTTGTGCTTGGTGTTTGTTTCTCCTAAAGAGACATTGCTCATGATAAAGTTTTGTATTTGTTTCAAATGAATATAAAGTTATTTTTAGCACAAACCAGATGTACCTAAATTGTACTTTCATTTTTGATCAAAAGTTTAGAAATATATTAAGTGGATACGGCTGAAAATTTATTATCCAAACTTTTAATGGCCATTAAGGATGTTAATGACATTATGTAATAAAACTTAATTTTTGTTATCTGATCATATCTCCCAAGTCAAAATGTGGTGAAGCATCTCTTAAAAATCAACAAATCTCTAGAAGTGAATAATTTTTACAATCACCACCAAGTGACTGATTTTCGTCTTAAGTGCAGTGACCATTGATAGTTCAATAGAACTATGACTTTTCATTGAAATTGTTATTATGTCTGTCTATTTTAGAGAGAGGATGAAAAGCTAAGAGCTCAACTTCGTCTAGATAATCAGCAGAGAAGAATGAGAGAGAGAAGTCAGGCAAAAGAACTGAGTGCACGATACCTTGAAGGCGATGATGAAGAGGAAGAGCTTGAAGAGAGYTTACTCAAGATTAAAAAGAAATACAAGCAAGAGTTAGCAAGAGGTACATATTTGCAACAAATGTACATTAATTTGAATCACAGAAATACATCCTTTATTGCAGTCGYAAAGCTTAAAATTKATACAGCATTTTTCAAMAATGTRATTTTTGCATACAACTTGTAGTATATGATTCAAAAGAGCTCTATGTTGTACCATGTACTTTTTTAAGCCAAGGATCGAACAACAGCTACTCATGTACAACATGTTCTTGGTCTGAAACTGTATACTGAAGTCATACGTCAAAATTATGTCAGGTAAATACACAAATGGATAACATTGATTTTGGTATTTTTAGGTCCTTCTTATTCATCTGATGATGGTGAAGGAGAAGCCTTAGATGTTGGTGGACTTGAAAGTGATGATGAAGAAGAAAACGAAGAAAAACTTATCAATGCCAAGAAAGGAGTAGATGTTGAAGAAAACAATGAAGAAATATCTCCCAGAAAACGCCTAAGTAGTGATGGAAGTACAAAGAAAGAGAAAAAGAARAGAAAAAAGATTATAGAAAGTAGTGAGGAGGAAAGTGATTAGCAAATGTTTTTTATGTGCGTGATATGTAGTGTAGTAGCAATTGTAAATATTGTATTCTTTATTTTATTAAAATGCACCATGAACCATGATTAAAAGTTGTACTCTTCTGCAAGAAACCAGGTCCATACCACTATAAAATCACAAATTGTTGTTGGTTTTGAATGACATTTGATGGACCTAAAATGCATGTATCTGACTATTTACAAATCTCATCATGTCGTTATTATTGTTATCACTCGGCTGGAACATTCCTTAAACGTTGTGGTTGGATAACAGCAGTAATATTAATGGTGTCCATAAAATGGATCATGATCATGATTTGATATAATTCAAATATTTCATTGCTGCAAAATTATATTGATAGACCACCCTTGTAGTTTATGGGAAATAAGAAAGCAATGACTCTTACGAGCTGAATATTTGAATATTTTTTGAAATGGGGGATTATTTGGTCTGTGCTATCTTCATTTTTTTTGCAAATTTGTGGACAGGGYAATTGTTTTCCCTTCTTGATTCACTGCAGGACATTTCCTACATCATTGGAACATTGATTTAATTTTCTGCCTTGCAATAGTACAGGGTTTTTTAAAAAAATTTAAAATTTTTTTTACAAAATGTTTTGGTCCTCAGTGTTTGCATGGAATTTTTTAGCAAAAGTCAAATGGTAGCTGCTTATTTATCCCTCTAGAAGCTGTTTTAATTATGTTGTTCCGGGAAGTACTAATACTACTACTCCCTAATAAAAAAGGCCGTGGTTTCTCGTCATCTGTTTTAAGGGCTTGAAATCAGTGTTTTCTCCCGCTTAGGGTGATAATGATGAGAATTCTCACCAACTGAGCTTTGTGGTTCCTTTTAGGGTATACGATGGCCCTAACGATTTGTATATGACACAACATCGTTATAAACTCAATAATAGCCGACGGCATTTGACCTTGTGCCAAAAAAAAAAGAAAATCAGGAAACCAAAACAAAATGACCAGTTATTGATTGGTCCCTCTTAGAGGTGAAATTTCAGCAGTGCCACGCCCATCATCTCACAACACAGGTCCCTTTTATGGGTCATTTTCATAGTTTCCAACAAGGACTCCCACCCTATTTTTATTAGGGAGTTACCCCCTGGGTGATACATATTTTGATTCCTAAGAATTTAAAAATGATATAATTAACAAGAATATAAATGAAAATKTCCTGAATTTCTAGTGAACTGAAATTATTAATCTTATCAATTTCTGTTAGCTGCACAGAATTTTGTAATTCAACCTTCAGTGACCTTGAATTTTTTCCATCCCAATTTGAAACATAATTTTTGTATCTGTCCCTGGCAATATCACCTGTTTTAGATTTATTCATTTATTTTATTTACAGTGCTCTTTAATACAACTTTTATTCTCCTTGTCCATCTCTTGTGTTTCAGCACAGGAATCCTGAAAAAGTTCAATAGAATTCATTATTTGTGCATGTCCTACGAAATCTCTGGACTTATGACCAAGAGGTATCAAGTTCAAATCCTAATGACACCATATCTCTTTGTTTTTTTGTTTTTTGTTTATCAGTAAGAAAATGATTGTTTATGTTGTAGAGTGATTRCACTAAACCGTGAAACTGGACAAAATCTATAAAGAAGTACAAATTTGTACTAAACGTGGATCTGAAGCAAGAYGGTATTGAATGCTTCATTTGTATCAATTCAATTCAATTTGCGTACCATATGCATGATTTACTAAATAATACAACTATAAAATAGCACTATTTAGTTTGTACAGTTGCAAGGTTTAAGTGTGATCACAAATCAAATTAGCACAAAATTCATTAGTTGTGTGGTGAAGTTGTACAGAAAAAAAGACAAAATAGCAAGTTCCTAACTGCTACTTAGTTGCCTGCTTACAAACTGATAACATTTTGGTTCTCCATAATACAAGACTGATGGACTAAGCACAAGTCTGATACAAAGTTCGTATGAGTCCTAATGTCATTTTATAAGCACAATATTTAATTTTATGAGAAACAGTCTATTCYATTATCAGTGTTCATGTGCACAGAAAATGCCCTTAGTGAATCAGTCAAGGTATACTTTTTATTTGTACATGTACATGTACATCCTATTCAACTTTTAAATTAAAAACTCAAATATTCACACAGTTCTAAATGAAAAGATATAACAAAACTTTCAGAAAATTACCAAAGTACACTGAGATGTCTTGTTGTCTATCCACAGCAACCTAAATAGTTGTTCTACARACACAGAAAAAACAAACCTCTAATCATCATAAAGTCTAAGAATCACATGGTTGTAACAATAGAAACAAAAGTCACACACTCCCCTGTCACGTTATTTGTATGTCACATGTCACACGCATGAGCACATCACTCAGTCCTTTCACACTATCAATATAGTAAACAAAAACATTTGGCTCTTTCTAAACAAAATCTATGAGAAACTCTGATTTGAGACAAAATAGAAACTTTAAGTCTGAGTGTAATAAAGGCTCAAAAACACTTATTCAGAATGTAAGAAATTCCATTAGGCCATTATCAAATCAAAGAAGATCTTGTTACAAACAAAAATGACTTCCACAAAAATTTATACTTGCGAGATTTATTTTCAAGTCTACATTGGTCACTCTAATTATTACAGTTTCATCTAATTAGACAGATGTAATTATGTACAAAGTTGGGAAACTTTTAAGAKGATATTAAAAATGTCTGTGAGGGAAATATAGATCTATTTAAAGATTAAGCTTACATAGTGAAAGATCGCCGACACAAAATTAAGTTTCAGTAAGAATAGCAAATAAGTCATTGACCAACAAAACAGATACTGCACATGCTATGTAAAATAACTTATTCTTGCTACTATTTAATATAAAATGAATGCTATGCACTGTTTTCAATACACATAGGTTTTATACTTGAACTTTTTAGCTTCGCGTTTTCGCTCTTCAGCCTGCTCAATTCAGACTGCAAAGCTCGAACAAGTTCTTGATTGCTATGACTCAGTTTGTCGCCTGTTGTGTTGTTGGCACAACTAGGTTGCTCACCGAACGAGCTTTCTTTGTAACCATTGTCAATACTACCGCTATGAATCTTCCGTAACTGTCTCTCCAAAGCTTCAACTCGTTCCTCTAGCGATATACACTCGCGTACTAAATCGTCTTTCTTCATTGAATACAAACTTTCCGCATGACACTGTTCATAAGCCTCTGTAAAATCTTTTTCGAAGAATTTCTGTTCATAAATTTCATCCTCAGGTAATTCGTTGTAATCCTCCAATTCTGGATCGTCCAAAGAATGCGAATCCTSTCTTGTACGTCGTCCCGCGGAGTCTCCACTCTCGTCCTCATCTTCTCCCTCGCTGTCCGACTGCATGTGTAAATGATTTCCTAAATCAGGTTCTTCACGATCGTGTTCATCCATCAAAAATTGTGTAGTGTTATAAGGAGCTGCAGGTCGTCCTTTCTCGTTTGTGTATTGTTCCCGTATTTTATTAGCCTTTTTCGCATCCAGCTCGAGCTTGGCTTTCTTTTCGTCCCACGTCATTTTCGTGTAAGGTTTATATTTTTTTCGATTTCGACGCGATCCGCGCCGATGTTTTTTCTGAATCCGCATTGGTTTTACCTCGGTGGAGGCTAAGCTTGCAACACAAGAACTGTCAACCTGTTGGTCCTGTATTTTGTCTTCTACATCCTTCCCAACCATCTCCGACCCACTAGGTCCACTAGTCCTCTCATCGTCGCCTTCATGCCCATCTGGCTCGACAGCGACTTCTTCGTTCTCCATTTCTACCGCTACGTTTTTTGAATCTGGGCAGTTTTTCATCAGAAACACACCTCTGAACTATAAATTAGCGCCTGATTTGTACCACGACGTCTTCATATATAGTAAAACTACTATTTTAACCGTATTTTTATTCACAAACACAACATTCTTCACCACTTTCTCTACAACTGACCGTCTTCAGATAGCCTTTGGGTTTACTTGCTTGGATGTTGTCATTATTGTACCACGTGGGAARTATCTCCCTTTCTGATTGGTTTATATTTTTGTCAACCAATCAAAAGCTCGTTTCACAATACAAAAGTCCTCCAAATAAGGAAARAGATAGAGGAGTGGCCTTTTGGGGGAGGGGGTTGGGATCAATTTTCGGTATTATGAAAACAGGTACTGATTGTTCAAAAAGAGCCACCAGAAAGTGGTCTAAGTTGACCCAATTTGTTTTAAAAATAGCTTACATAAAGAGATATTTTCTCGTACAAGAGACTCCTACGCAAATCATTTATTCATTCATTACTTTGGATTSTGTATTATTTCCAGTAACTGGAAGTCGAACACGGCGAAAAAATTATACAAGAGGCTGATGAAGGGATGAATAAAACCACTAAGTTCTTTTTATTTACACAAATGATTAATTCTCTCATATAATTTCATGTCTAAAACAGACGTCTTGTTCGTTCAGGACCGTCGAGCTGGAAAGTGAATTTGACACTAGTGATATTATCTGAGAGTCATCTCGGAGAAAGTAAAACAGTAAAGCGACAAGCAATGTTTAATTTTCTATTTTGAAATCAGGAAAGTAATTGAACGCAACTCTTTTCTCCCGGTTCCTTTAGACTGAGTGAGTTAATACAAGTACGAATTTGCATCTAAGACAATAAATGTTAAATACTCGACGCCTAATTTGATGTAAGCTAACTAGAAACTGACATGAAAACCAGTGTTATTTTTATTCAGGTGCACTTATGGGAAAAACTTTCAATTATTCATTCATAATTCTCGAAAGGCATGCTGGTTATTCTAGCMATGAGATGCTTCAAATGYYACGGGACGCTGGCAGGCGCGTAGCGTCCTTTACGCATATACGCACGTGCGTACTAGTGGCAAGGAATATTAACATTTTCACAAAAACTACTGAAAAATTCACATAAAATGGATCCCTCTTATATGCTATCGATGTCTCTCAAAACGCTAGAAATCAGTCGCATTTTCAGGAGTAATTATTTCAAAATTTCCTGGGGGGAGTCCAGATTCCCTTAATACTCCCGCCTTTGGCGATAGTTAGACCCCCATCCAAAATATGTGTCATGGTCTCTGACATATGCGTACTAGCCAAAACGTCCATGCTACGTGCCTGGCGGGACAAATATCTTAAACAGTTTCTCTCTCCTTTCCATTACTCTAGTCAAGGACTATTTTTAAGATATTTTTTCTCTTATTGACGAAATGAAGTCTGCTACTCAAAGGTGAGGTGACAATGCGGAATACAMCTTCAGGGTGCATGTACGTTTTTGAAAATACCCTATGAAAAAGTTTTAAAAACAACATGCGTACTGCACCAGATTCWAGGGGAATTCCCGGAGTTTTTCCTGTTTTCAAGGATTTTCCGAGTGCGCTTCAAAAGGGCTTTTCAAGCATTCTTGTATAACWGGACCGATTGTGCAACCCGGGTWGTGCAAAGGGTGCATGGATAAGGTTATTCTGTACGAATTTTATTTGCTAGATAAGTATTTATCCACAGGATACACATCCTTCGTACCGACTGTTCCCAGAACCGTGTACAAACCATGTAATGTCCTCGATGGTTTAGCCCAGGGATGTGTGAAGGTCATTGTCTCAGAAACTCAAGATTTGCCGCTATCGTGTTTCGAATCAGTTCCCAGTTTTCCACTAGCACAGAGACAACACAGCGAACAACAACAACTATAAAAAGTCTCAGTTTAATTTTGCTTTCGCTTATTATATATGCTACATGACCTTTATCTATTGTTAGTTAAAAAATTGCTATACACTAAAAACAAATAAAATCAATTAAAATTTGTGAGAATATCTTTACTGCGTAATAAGTATATCGTTACTGCTCCGTACTGAAATGTCTTGCAATAAAAATGTTCTGCAGGGGCGATTTCCTTTCATCTTTGCAGACCCCCAATTATCATTAGTTCCTCTTCTGTGGTATGGTACAAATTCAGTTAAAAAGATGTCTGTCAACATTAAGTTAAGAAATACAGTACATTTTTTAAATTTCTCTTTCACGTTTTTTTGAAAAAATAATCTATAATATTAATGAGGTGTGTGGAAAAGTCTTCAGTGAGGAGCAAATTATCTGGACATTCATTAATGTTCAATAGCATTTCATTTTTACAGTGTAAAAACCATCACTTTCCCTTTTTTCACGAAAACAAAGTAGCAAAAACCTTTCCACCACAAWAAGGTATTAGTCCTTTCTACAGGACTTGCGTCAGTTCAAAAGTCTAGAAAGGTAGCTCAGGGCTGTCATATAGTACAAAGTAGTCATTCCCAAATGACGATACAGCTAGTTGCGAAGGGTATCGCGGGAAGACAAAATGATCGATAGTYAGCCATGTCGAAATGRTCGACATCAAGAACACACTTCTGCGCTACACATCTCGTTTCCAAGCCATCCATTTCAAGCAARGATCGTCAACCAACAGGAMCTCYTCTCGGACAGTTCTTCGGAGAACCACCATGGATGGATTTGGCCGGGGATGCTAATCTATTAGRTTCTGGGTTGACTTAATGTTCAAAATTCACCTCGTCGTTAAATCTCACTCGAGGACGGGTCTTGTTCCTTGAGTCCTGCGGAACATTGAGGTTAATATTAAAATTGATAGAATAATCTATAACTTTTGATGAAGTTAAAATAATCCGCGAAATATATAAGATAGTAGATCAATACACCTTACAAATCAATAATCACTGCATTGCCCAATTTTTGTGCCCATATATAGGCCATTTCACAGTTGACCGAGCCATTTCAGTSGAAAAACAATTACTAACATTGCAAAGATAAGCCTGAAATACGTATTTTTATTTTGGCGAATTTGCTAGAATGAAGTCATTGAACCCGGGAAATAAAAGTTGACTAGTAAAGTGTGATAGTCAAATAGACACAAAAGAAAACAATGCCATTACAGAGTACTAAGGTGTTGGTGTTAAGTGCAATATCTATTTCACAGGWTATTTTCACTTCTCTCTAGAAGTGAAATCTTTAGATGTGACAATGTGTTTTGAATGGYTGGATTATTGCTGAAAAGCCTACTGAAACACTACGTCGCGTTCACTACGAGTTGATAGTCCACGAAGCTGTGCTCAAGGGGAGGGACCACTAAAGTATATACGCCGTGCAAATTTGAAATGAGAAAAAAATATCAAAGGTATTTCTCAGAGAGAGAGCATGTTCTATCGGAAGTACATAACAGTTCAATATCTTATTATGTAAAATACCAGGAAATCTCCAGCGCGRAGAAAGTGATATCTTTTACATTTGAAAATGTCATGTACTCCATGCAATATTTTCCTATTTCTTGCCTTATATAGATACAAATTTGAGTTTATAATGAACATTACATGGTTGCTTATCATTCCCTTTTTTTATTTCGCAGTATTAAACCACAAGTGTAATGACACTTGCAGATACMAATTTTATCTTCTCGTGTTCCATTTATATCTCTCCCTCACTCGCAGGATATCAATGGAACACTTGAAGATAAAACAGGTCCGCAGCTCCGCCAATCCTCTATAGAATTCTGGATTCTTGACAATCCACAGGTTGATGGATATCAAAAACCACATTAGCTTTCACATAGAGTCAACGCACTTGTACCGTGAAACATAGKCAAGTCAATCAAAGAAGTAGTAACTATTCTTGGTGTGCAACCACGTGACCAAGAATCCCCTGACAAATATAGAACAAAGCTATCGCCGCCATGTTGGATGAATGAACAAGAGAAACTAATGAGGAATGCTTTGTGATTTTCATCCAACATGGCGGCGATGWCGTAACTTGSMCRCCAAGAATTAGTCAGTAWATAGACACTAATAGTTACTGTTTATTTTGATCATATTTCACGGTACAAGTGCGTTGACTCTATAGCATGAAAATTATAGTTATGAAAATAACTCTTAACTAAGTACCTCGTGTGCGTCAGAYGGTGTCCTGTGTTGTTGAGACGATCTTATACTGTCCAATAGATCTTTATCAACTTCCTGCAATAYAGCAAACATCACTTATGAGATATTTTAGGCTTATAAAAGGTCAGTTACAAATATAAATTCAAAGCCGGCCTGACTCTCATGTGTGACGAGTTCACTGAGTGTTGTGTGTTTCGTTAGAAATCTAACGCCATAAATATAGTAGAAATGTTGTGGGGGATGAGATGGGATAAAGGGTTGATAACCAGGAAATACKCGTATCTAAGAGTTGTACTTACATCTAATGAACTAAACGATATCTGACTTTCACTCTTCATTTGTTCGAGACCAGCAATCAACCTGGAGACAGAACAACGCAATAAATAAGTGTTCTACTTTGACCTCTATATTAATAAAATTAAAGATAGCATCGCCTTGTCTGAGGTGTTGCTTTCGTCCACCAGATATTTTCACCTTTTTTTTACTTATTTTCTCCTATGTTTTCAGCTCCTCAGCCTTCGCACTTCTTGAAAAATCATACCCATCACCTCCCCCCTAGTATCTACTGTACTTTACAACTCTTGTACATAAAAATACCCATGCAATAATCAAGGTAAATTCCTACAATATAAATAAACTATACAAAGGAAACGATTTAGGTCTCAACCAAATGAACTTACTTTTGTAAGGTGAAGAGTGTCCCAGTAACATGTTTGCACCTACTGACAAGGTTATCGAGTTTCGAGGGTTCTTCTTTGAGGAATCTGTAAATGAGGAAAATTAGTAAATATTTAAGTTAAGAGGGTAGATGAAGAAAACCCTCTTACTTGTCTCCTTGTACGATAATACTCAATTCTCCTGCCATTGCAGACTTCATGTTATCGTGTAACTCGGTGAATTGACCTGGAAAATAGTTAAGAAACATTTAGGATAGCTGTAGAGTAATTTGCCACTAAAAGGTTGCTGGGAGGAACGAGCCAACTCAATCTCCTTTCCAACGACTATTCTCTCTCTTTTACGCATGCGCGATCTGGATAATAGCAATTTCACAGCTTTTTCCAGTGCTTACGTCTGTGGGCTCTATTTGTACTATTCTGTGCTTGTGTTTAAGCTAATGCTTGTGTTGTCTTTGGCCACTAAAGTTCTTACAAGGTGTACTTACTGCGTAGATCAGCTATTTGTCTGCTAATAATAGCCATTTGGCTGTTCATGCTTTGAACCTCTTCAGGGCTGCCAATATGTCGCCTTTGAATAACGTCAAGTCTGACCATTTCCACTTCGCTTTCAAGTTCGCTGTTGAGGTTTATTTCAAGAAAAAAGTTATTTTGACAGTTATCAATGAATGCTTGAAACCCCGCTTTTCCATGGTCGCCAATCAACAGCACCTGGGTTCCCAAGGGAAAGAAGTGCTTGTGTGACAAATGAGTCAACAACAACAAGGGAGGAATTGTAAATAAGTCGAAGATTAAAAAAAAAACAAAAAAAAAACAGGTAATAAAAATGAAAGATTAAAAGAGAGAAAAGAATTAAAGTATGAATGCAAGAAATACATGTGTGACACCATGATGAAATACGGGGATAGGGAATTGAATAATATTTGGCCACAAAGAGATGATAAAACAAACAAACAAATAAGGGAAGAAAGGCGAGAAGAGAGAATGGGATGACAAAGAGATCCATGAATAAAGTAACAAATGAATAAATTACAATATGGAGAAAGGATGGAAAGATCAAATTGACATATTGACATTATGAAAAGAGATGGATGAAACTAAACAAWCGAATGATTGAAATATGAAACTGGAAAGCAAGAAAGAATGGACTTTTAGATGATTAAAGAGAAATCTGAATGAATGAAAAAGAATTTTCGAATTCAACGTCAAATACGTTTGAAACTAACTTAATGAATGAAAAAACTAGGACGAACTATTCAACGAAGTTTTAGTTCTCTATATCCACAAACCTGATAGCTCGATTGATTTCATTCTTTGCTTTGATATATCTCATTTCTTCTTCGTGGATTTTGTTTCGAGCTGTTTGCTGTGGGCTTTCATGGGTAGCTGGGGAAGAGAATGATACGAGATGTTTAAATATTAATAATCTCACTAATTGATTTGGAGATTTGTCTATCATCTCGGTCATGGTACTGAGTGGAGTGTTAAGGCCGACGATTTACACGATGCCAGTTTAAGAGCGACTTGGAGGATGTAAGTCGTAGGATTTTAAAGGCCCGTTTAAACTTGCGATTTTTGCAGCGCGATAATCGCCACTTTGCTATCGCGCAACTCAAATCGTACGTGTAAACAGCCCTAAGATTGTTGCGACGATAGAAAATCGYCGCGAAGTTGCAGCCAATTTTCAAGCATGTTCGAAATTTTGGCGATGATCGCGCGACGACCGCCACGAGAATCGCTATGCAAAAATCCCTAGTGTAAACTTGAGACTAGTAAAGGTAGATGTGTTTTAGATTTTTCACAAATGGAAAATGAGGYAACTTTGAATATCCATCCATCGCTTTAAATGTCGAATCTTACAGATCTCCAACATATAGTATAAAGGGATAATAAAGAGAAAGTTTTTGCTTATATTAYGATGTATCTTTACTTTCAAACATGAGCAAAAGCTCGAAAGTGATGCTGGTGGACCATATCTCTTTAAMTGTTTTCTGAGAACAAAACATCTCTGAATGGATGACGTCACTATAATCAGCGTCATTGTTCTAGGTCCGTCACGTGGTGTAAAAKAACTACGTTACTAGTACAGCAAGTACATCTCTCTGCAAGTAAACTGTTTTTACCTGAAGCTAATCTTCTCATCGACACCAGAATCTGATCTTTAGCGTTACTCATCATTTCTTCAAAAGACTTCGCCTGGAAGCTATGAATYTGCTTGAGTTGACCAAGTTGAGATCGGAGGATTTTGACGTCTTCTCTTAGATCGTTGGCTTTGGAACGTAGTTTTGTCTTGTTTGCTACAYTGCCGCTACCCTAGAAATTACAGCAATGAATAGGGTCAGTGGGGTATACAAYGAGGGATGGCAAAGAAACAAGGCGCTATGGACGAAAAGCAACAACAAAAACCACAATATCATCATCATCATCATCATCATCATCAAAAGCAGCAACAACACCACCACCGCCGCCGCCACCAACAGCAACAACAACAAAGAACGAAAAGTTGGACAAGGGGATCAGCATGTTTGATATTCCATTGACCAACACCATCAAACAAGTCAGTCAAACGCGTTTACCGAAAGTCCTGACAATAATAAAGCTAGTCACCTCGTATTTGACATGCACTGGACTTGGCATGTCTACAGGTCTGTTCTGTACTGGATGCTTGGTGGACGACTGCACAGGCAGTGTGCCATACTGCTGAATCAGACTTTTCTTAGCCCCTGACGGTGTTTCTCTTTGAAGTGATTGACTGTATTTCATGGAAGTCTCTCTGGAGACATTTCGACTGGATGCTCTGGGGGGAGGAGTGGGAAGGCTTGATGTTGGCTTTGGTTTCACTGCAAAGGATAGCAATTAAACATTGTTTAATCGAATCAGTGGGAATGTAAAGAAGAGTGTCTACTCTAAAGAGGATCGACCTTAATGTGAACTATACTTTAGCAAATATCTATTATCAAGATGTATTTACCAAAACAACAGCAACAACAAACATACTAACAACAAAAAGAAATACTCAATACAAAAACAGTTAAAAGCTACGCAATACCGTACAAAATATTAATTCAGACGATAACCGAACATGAGCTYATAAAAACACTTCACAATTGCATTTCCAATCTAAGCTTAACAAAGTTTCTACGTAAACAGAGGTGCCAAAGGTGAAAACAATTTTAGCGAGAAGACCTTTAAGGCATGCATGCATAGAGAAGAAAGAAGTGATGCACGTATATAATGTGGGAATACCTTCTGGGGGTGTTGGTGGTGTGTCTGACATGGATTCAGCACCTGAATCACTCCTCATTCGCGACCTATAGTAAGCTCCCACTTTTCCTATATAATGATGGTCGCCATTACCTTCAGGGGGACCATGGTCAACAAAGCTACTTTGTGAGCTGGAACCACTGTCGTTCCTGATTGGTAGACTGTCAAGGCTTTCTGTCTTGGTTAGTGCTTCCTGTAACATTGACGTGAGAGAATCCAGTTGATCCTCCACTAATTGATCTTTTCCCGCCCTGAAAAAAATATATTGATAACATGTTTATWGAAACAGAGCACWACATACTTGGAACAAAAATCAAAAGTTCTGCCAATGATCATAGGAGCGCCCTCTTTTAAGGCATTTTACTCTTTTGTTACCCCATGACAACTGAATCCACCATATTTTCAAGAGGAAGGGAGGGTGGAGGTTGTATCATTCAAGTCACAAAAAACTGGCAACATGATGGTAAAAAATTTGAGAAAACATTTCAAATCTATTTTTCACATAGGAGGTTTGCAACCCCYATAACCTGCTTAGTAATAACAATAATATAATAATAAACTTCATTTGATAATGAGAAGACCAATTTTGATTAGCAATACAGCTAATTCCACATTGGGTCATCATAACGCACCCCCAGTGGGAATAGTCTGTTTTACTAGGGTAAAATTGCATCTTAATAATAAAGTATTGGACAAAGTCACTAAATGAACTCCTGTTTTAAGCTTCTACAAGAACGGTCAAGATGGGTAGTAGTCCTATTCTTCATTTACTCCAGAAATGCTGATACCTATTTATACACCTGGAGCAGTTTGTATGAGGGGTGGATAAAGTTATCCACTGCTCCTTGAATTTTGTATGGATTTTATCCACTGAGTAAGGATACATATGATGGATAGTGCTATTCACCCTTTGCACCCTGCTGGCCTCAGAAAAAGAAAAGGAAAATGGCACTGAGAGAGCAAGTTCTGGGAACTTAACATCATATCCCAAGGTACTCAAAAAAAAAAAATGAAAACCAACATACAGCTATTTCAAAAAACGTTGTCGGGGAGAACGGTGAACGGTGATTGTTGAAGGGAGATTGCACAACCGACAGGAACTATGGTTACACTGTTTTGATAAACAAAATTTCACTTGTTCGATTCACCTTACAAAGAAATGGAGACTAAATGAAGCCAATGTTTACCACAGACCATCTTACAGTACAAATCAGTTGTTATTGCCTTTCAACTAGCAAAACCCATGGCTACTTTCGTTCGTGCAATCGCCGTTCGACAATTGACATTCGCCAGTTTATCCGACAACCTTTTTTGAAATAGCTATATAACCCTGTTGGCCAATGAATTACTCTTCTGAATGTTCATTCAATTATGTATATTTTTCTTTGTAGTGGTTCAATTACCTCTTCTTRTCATGTGGGAGCTGTGTTCCTAAACCAGGAAGAGGAACCTTCTTCTTGTCCATTAAAGTCCCTTGTGATACAGCTGTCTGTGTGACAGTACGTGGTTGRCCATCCATAGTCCTTGTTTCTGTAATTGTGGTTTTCCATTGGTAATTCCCTGTAGGGCTAGTCTGCAATGGATCAYTGTGCACTGTATGGCTATGGTTAGGTTTGGGGGTACTGGTTACAAACTGTTTCTGTACATGCACAGCYGATGGGCCACTATAACTAACAGAAGCACTTGAAGATGGTTTTGAAACAGGGCCATTCTGGACAGGTTTGGGAGCAGTATCCAAAATCTTTAGATGTGATTTGTTACTAAGGTCACTGAAAATATAAAAACAATAAATAAACACTTATATAAATACAACTATATATAAATAGCACTGATATAGAAGGCTCTTATGTTCATATTATGTGAAGAACTTAGAAAATTTTCAAAGATTTAAACTTAAAAGTGATAATAAATTTTTCATTGGCATGCACACAAAGATTTGAACCCAGCACTGTGCATCGCCTTGCCATACATATTTTCCTAAACCTAACTATAACCATCAAGACATTAGATGATTTCACTTGCGATGGGTGAACCTGAATTTTTGTGATATTTATGTAATGGCATTCACGAATAACCAGATGTCTGTACATAAGATAATATACATAATCAATGAACTTTTTCTAGGAACATGACAACCTTCTATGTGTACATCATCAGCACCATGTACTTGTACAACTATATAAAAGTTGTACGACAAATCCTTGTCATTACAAGACTTACGTTACATCTTCCAGCTCGTAAAAGATCCCRCAAGAACTATCTTTGATATAGATGGTTTTCCTGTTATTATTGGTTTCTCTTTTGWACTTGTCTGTGAATGTATTTTCAAATAAATTGTGGACTTGATCAACTTTGTTCATATTTGTAGGAATCATAGCTCGTCTTATTTCATCCCCCAGCTGAAGATATACTACACCTATAAGGAAATCAAATAAAAACAATAATCAGTCAATATAATTTATCGTTTAACTGTTGCAGTAAATGGTGTTAGGTGATTTTTCCAATGAACTAGACACTCTCAATAGGGTCAGAAGTGGAGAACATTCAGAAGCAAGAGACAGAAAAATTGTGCAGTGAATTTTTGAAGGAACGTTTTTACATCTTAAACACGTCTTCTACTTAGTTGCTCAGATGCTTTGTCTTCATAATGAGTTGCTACAAATTTACTTCAAACAAAGTTATGTCCCATACACAAAGAACAAAACTACTTACTTCAAGCAAGTTAAGTTGAATATTTAGTTTTAAACAATACATAAACAAACAGTACAATTTTCCTAACCTGGTGTATTGACTGGTTGAGAAATGTCTTCCTTCCTGGGTAGAGTTGGATARACACCTGGTGTTCCTAGCAATTTATCATACCGTTGTTGTTTTGGTGAAGATGGTGACGGAGGTCCATGCTGAAAAATAAATATAAAATATCTATATCCACCTCTTAGTCAACAACCTTGACAGAAAAACCAGGACAGATCTGAACTGAACCATTTTGCTTGCAAAACACACCTAAATTAACTTTAYGTGATACCACTCAAGAGTTCATTTTTTATATCAAAGTGTCAAAAGTACATGATTATTACTCCTGAGAGTGGAATAAAGTATTCAAGGTTTAAATATAACTCTTAGACTAGTTCATCATAACATCGCTTTTAGAAAAAGAAGGCCTAATTCATTGACAAATTCCAACTTACTGCTTCTTCTTTTATAGTCACTGTTGCTCTCCCAGCACTGCTTGGGGCATTGGGATTCAAACCAAACCTTTCTTTAACCATGGCAATGATTTGCTGACGATTAAGAGTTCCCCCRTGAGGCCCYTCKGGGTCACTTGAATATCCTGACTTTGCCTTTTGAAGATCATTGTCGATTTCCGCTCCTCCAGTGGTACGACGGCGAGGACGGCGGCTCTTACTGTAGCCCTCAGTATCACTTAGAGTGGCAGTGTCTGGTAAAAATGAATTAACAATAAAATTTTACTCTTGATAAGATTCTAAAATAATGGTCTTGGCATTTGAAATATCAAATTTTTAGGAGTGTGAAAAAAGGTATTTGTAATGTCAAAATACCCTGAGGAAGGAGTAACTTTCAGTACATACAAAAAGAAATCCTTCAACAATGTTGGTTAATCTGCTTATAAAAAATCTTACATAGTTTAATACTCCATACTTTTATTATCTTTTAGCATTAAATTTGTCCAAGCCTCCCCCATTTGAAAAGTTTTTGGTTATCTTTTAGGATTATTATTTTTTGAAAATTCAAAAATTCAAAGAATCAAGGATATTTTCATTTTATGTATTATCAAAAAGATCATCTCATATCATGACTTGAACAGCATGATCAATAAAAATAAGATAAAATAATTAAAGGATAGAGATAAAAAAATAAAGAAAGATATTATAATGAATGAAAAGACAAATAACAAATAATACGGTTTATAATTAAATATAGYTAAAGTTTGACAAGTAAATGTACAGAAATCACTGAAASTCAGATAGCCCMACTCAATCATCATTTTTTTAGAAAATGTTAGGATTTTTTAACTTAAATTTGTTTTGAAGGTGACATAATGTCTGTTGATAATAATCAGGAATATAATTGCATGGATGACGCAGGTTAAGTGACATAATATGATATAAGTGCTGACAAGTATAAATAGTTCAATAAAATAAATTATTAATTTATAGATGAATCAAATACCTTCATCAAAGGTTTCTGGATGGAATGTTACAACTGTGTAGCTACACGTGCTACTTATGGATTCTTTCCTCTCCATTGAAAACAATGTTTAATACCCTAAAACCCTTTCTTTTCAAAGAATCCCTTGAGTAAGAAGATATCTCCTACATTTGTAACTCATTTCTCCACTTTAGATAATACAATTAGTCTGCCACTAGATGTAGACAACTTAAGATTTATCCTTACAAGAAAAATGTAAAAAGATACTTGACTTGAGTCGATTACAGTTTCAGCAGATGCTTGAAGTCATGAGCCAAAAATAGCCTTCATGTCWAATGCTGAGGAAGTTGTAAGATAGTAGAATTGCTTCCAATAGAACTGCTGTAATTTKGGAGCAGTTACAACATAGTTATCTAGTTACTAGATGTGAATAGACAGGTAATGAACTATACATTTCATCACCTACAAACACAATATCATGTGAGTTGAGTGCTTTGGTGATTGATCTCGTCATCACAATGCTTTTATTGACTGTTAACCTATCAAAGAAACCTGACCACTGTGTGAAGCCAAATGTAATACAAACAGTAAACAAATGAAGAAGTTACTGTTTCTGACTGGAAGTAAATGACAGTCAAAGTACATATAAGTGTGACTACCCTTAAAACAAATAAAAACATTCATGAAAAAATTATATAAACTGTAATTATATATAAAAATATATAAAAAACCCTTTGGAATTAAATAAGGCTGAAATGTCYAAAGTTGTATGAATTATGTTCTAACATTGCTGCTTATCTATGAATAAATATAACTGTAACAGTGTTTTTGTGTGGCTATAAATATATATTATTATGAGGTTTAGAAAGTTTTCACTACTCAGTCAAGGTTTAATGGTTTTGCATATAAATTTAGTTTGAGTAATATATTCTCACTGAACAATGCACCAGCCCCAGGCAAGAACATTTGTGAAAGTTCAGTCTAGTATGAATAATTTATGGTAATTATCAGAAAGTACATGTATAATA